CACATTAGTTGTGTTTGAAAATGTAAGAAGTTCAACATTTTTTTCAAATGTTTAGCAATATAGATATATATGTTATGGCCAAAGCCCGAAGTTCGCGAATTGGCTGGCCAATCAATCAACTGACAGTCAGAATGACTTCAGTATTTGTAAAAATTTCTTTCTCCGGCCAATTCTTAAGAAAAATACTTTATGATAAATATTTCCATATTTGTACATTTGATATCCTTGAGTTTTTTCTAAAGACAGAACCATTCTTAAACTTTTTTTAAGCAAAAAGTTGGAAACTTTTAATATGCTAACATTAAATTCTGCACCCTTATTCTTTGAACTAAGTAACAAAAAAATAATATGCATAATAAAATATTATAAATTTTTTATTATGTCTGAATCTTGCATAATATTTGACTTAAAAAAATACAGGTGTGTTTCCCTTCTTTTCTAAATTTTGAACTATGTTAAGAATTCTACCATTCCATTTTGTACGTGACGTAAGGCTTTATTCGTTCATGCATACAATTTTTTTTAAAACAATTATAAAAGAACCTTTAACAGATTTAATTTTAATAAATACACAAAATCACAGAATAATAAAATACAATTTAAAGATTATACTTTGTCACACTTATCTGTCAATAAGAAAAGTTTTTAATGTACACTAAAAAGTGCTATGAAGAATTCGATTAAGTAATAGTCTTCATTCTTCATGCTTTGAAGAAAATATGTTATTTGTTAATTTTATAGCATACCATTGCAAATGCGCCAACACAAACCAATTCCGTTCAGTTTCACCGCAATATCTATGCGTAGTGATTCCCTTCTCAGATAATGTAATCATTTAGAAAATAAATTACTTGCGTATTCCAGTGATATTCTTATATGCGTAGCTTTGGTAAGAATGTTGAGAAAACAACAAAAAGAAAAATTATTTCGTTGATTATTATTACCACCGTTTCTATAATAAAAGTCATTCCTAAATTCTTTGCAACAGAGATTCTGTGATTTTTCTATTATCTTTATAATTTTTATTTTTATTATGCTCCTTGCTCAAAACTTAAAGCTCTAATATATTTCTCGATCATGACTTGAAATTTTAACATAGTTGGAAAACTTCGAATTCTCAAATAGTTATCATTTTTGATATTCATGTTTTTATTTTTTTAATTTTCTTGTTTCTCTACAAAAATTTCAGATCTTTATATCCTTGACGTTTAATCTCATTACTAAGTTGCCGATCCTTACTTGATACCCCATAAACATTATTTTGAATTAAATATTTTTATTCAGGGGTTGCTGTTCTTGAGACTTTATGAATGGTAACAAAACTAACAAAGAGACTAAAATTCTTGCTCCCTAGTTGTTTTTCAATTCTTACTATTAGTTTACTCTCTCCCTAAATACACTCATGTCCATAAATTAAGGATAATTCAGAATCACACAGAAATTGAACTCTAAAATAAAAATTTCACCTGTACAATTATCACACACATCTTGAAGAAGAATATGCAAATTACAGGAAACCACCAGATGGCGCGGATAGTACGTCACAATGACGAGAGTGTAAGAGAGGGGTATATAAGGAATGGTGGCAAAGAAGTAAAATTGTTCACAAGCGCTTTAAAAGCCTTTCAGTTCAATAACCGCATAGTTATGGCACAAAGGAAGCATTTGGATGACTTTTTACGTGGTAGAATTATCGGACGACTGGAATGTAGACGTACCCAGCTGGAAGTATGCGAGGAACTTGGAATCGCCCAGAGTGTCATCTCCAGGCTTTGGCAACGATTCCAAGATGAGGGTAATGTGAGCAGATGTTACAGCACAGGTCACCCCCGAGTTACAACGCCGAATGAGGACCGGTATTTGGCAGTTACTGCCAAAAGAAACAGACGGAGCACAGCATCAGACCTATCTCGTCAGCTCTCTTCAAATACCGGTACGACAGTTTCAAGGCAGACCGTGTACAGACGCTTAGGGCACATTGGTCTATATGCTCGTAGGCCTGTCAGATGTGTTCCCCTTACCGCAACTCACTGTCGCCTGCGATTAACCTGGAATAGAGAGCATGCATTGTGGACACCGCAACAGTGGTCTTGTGTGATGTTTTCCGACGAGTCCAGGTTTAGTTTGCAGTCTGATTCTCGCCGGACTTTCATATGGAGAGCGCCAGGTACCCGTTACCACCAAGAGAACACCATTAAACGACACCGTTACGGTGGTGCAGGATGGCTCGTTTGGGGAGGAATTATTCTTGGTTCCAGAACTAACCTGCATGTTCAGAGTGTAACTATGACAGCCCACATCTATCGGGATGTCATTCTGGAACAACATGTACGTTTGTTTTGGGGCGCCGTGGGTTCTGAATTTCTGTTTATATATGACAACGCCCGTCCTCACCGTGCAAACATTGTAGACGAATCCCTTCAATCGGAGGATATCACCCGTATGGATTGGCCAGCATACTCACCGGGCTTAAATCCAATAGAGCATGTGTGGGACATGCTTGGCCGACAAATTGCAGTCCGTCAACCCCTCCCACCTGTCTACCGGAACTTCGGAGGGCATTGCTTGATGGGTGGTGTAATATTCCCCAAAATCAGATTGATAATTTGATACTCAGCATGCGTAGGCGTTGTAAGGCCTGTATTGCATCGTCCGGGAGACATACTCCGAATTAACCATCATACTAACCATGTCGTACTGTTTTTTGTAAGTAGGTTCTTTTTTGAAATTTGCTCCAGGGAGTAAAAATCGCAATTTTTATTAATTATGTCAAACATATAGCATCTTTTTGGCTTTTTACCTTTTGTTTAATAAAAAGACTTTACAAATAAGTCAAATTTGTTTTGCTTCTGTCTCTTTCTTTGCCTGAACTTCATTATCCTTAATTTATGGACATGAGTGTATATATCTTGATTAAATTTTCAATCGTTAATAAAATATTTTCTATTCATCCATTCAAGTTCAAATATTTTTTTAACTTGTAGTGGATGACACTTGATTTTATTACAGTTTTTTCAAATATTAATTCCTTAAAATTTTATTTTTATGAGTTATTTCTGTCCTAGTTAAAACTAGCTGCAACAGATGGCGCCCGTACATTTTCTAACGAAGTAGAAATTGACGTTAAAAATGTTGTATTACTTGTGTGTATAGGTTTTTTTTACTGTGAAGCACTTTTTTTGAAAAATGTAAATTACTCCTAATAATGAGCAAACTTATTCCTAATAATCCAAAACTTATTTGACAGTATAGTCGTCAAAAAATGGAACATCCTTAGCAACAAATCATTCTCGTCACATCTGGGGAAAATTTGTATCAATGTTAATGGATTAAAGGGAATTTAAATTATGGTGTTTTAAGTATTTCTGTTTACATAACATATAAAATGGAATTTTTCCATTATGGAGTTAATACTATTTATCTTCCACAATTGATTTTACATCTTACAACAAATTGAAGTTTCAAATTTCCAAAACTGTGCTCGTACTTTTATTAAATTTACGAGTGAGTAATGAGTGTCTCAAACATTTGACGATAATTGTGTTTCTACTCTACTTTTCAAAGCTTTTTGCAAAAAACCACAAATGAAAGTTTTATTTAAAAAATAGGAATATATGAGTTATTAAATACAACTGTGAAAAAACTCTGAATAATAATGTGCCAAAATGCTCATCAATTAGAATTTCTCGTGCTTAAAAGCACTTAAATCCCAATAACCTTAACCCATGGTATGCGATTCCCTTCAATAGCAAAGAAAGTAATTAGTTTAGTAATTATGATGGGACAAAAAAATCGCGGAGACAAAATAATTTATTAATTTTAGTTATTAGTCCCCATATGAACGTAGTTAAGAAACGGCAAAAATAGTATGAATCGTTTACACGGAAGAATTATAGTAAATGGCCCGCTAAAACTTTTTTTGCATATCTTTGGAAATAATTGTCGGAGTCGAATGAAATTTAGAGCACAAGTTATTGAAACTATTATCTAACTAATTCTGTAAAAAAACTGCATTTATAAGAGAAAATTTTTTTTAAGTAATTAGCTATGTTAATTAATCTAATTAATCAATCCTTTGACACCATAGTTTAGTACTTTATGAGCCATTAACAGAAATGCGACGTCAATAATTCTATGCATCTGTTATAAAAATTGAAAAATTTATTGAGTGAGTTCCATTTTTTAATGAATATTGTAATCAAGAAATTTATAATATAGAATGGTGTAGTCACCTTAATTAGAAAAAGTAAATGAATGCTCAGTTGAATATTTATTAAAGGCTCTTGGTTATTTATTTATTTGTAAAATTTTACAGGTTAACTTCTAAAAACGTGATATCATTACAATCCGAATTCTCTACCATGCGGCTATTGTCCTTCAATGTCATACTTCTAAAGAATACATGTATTATTCCCAATACTTATTTTTTCGCTTATGATATATTCGTTTGCAGGTCATTTTTTCTTGTGAGTACTGTTAGCATGTGCTCATGTTGTCCGTAGTATTGCAATGACTCAAATCTCATAGCACAGTAAAAAAAAGCTTTCCTTATTTTTTTCTGTCAAGCTTTTGCTTTTTGTTACGAGAATTCTGCATTTCAATGCTGAATAGCAGAAAAAAGCGTTTTTCATACTTTTGCTGACTTCAATGTAAGAACAGCTGGGAGCAAGTTTTTATTTTTTATTTTTAAAAATATATCAACAGTAAACTATTTCTTCGAAATGTTTACTATCCACATATGTTTTTTCAATTCCTACTATTATTTCACTCTGTCCCTATATATATATATATATCTTGTTCAAATTTTCAATTGTTAGTAAAATACTTTCTATTCATCCATTAAAGTTCAAATACATTTTTTTAACTTGCAGTGAATGTACTTGATGTTAATACAGTTTTTTTAAATATTAATTCATTGATTAAAATAAAAAAAGGAAAAAAGTAGCAAGTAAAAATAATAGTCCAACAGCAGCATATATAGAAAGAAAACCAGTCGTTGTGTCTCTCTAACGCAATGGATAGCGTGTTGGACTTCAAATCCAAAGGTCGTGGATTTGAATTCTACCTGAGATGGCCTAATTTCTGATAATGTGATTTCTTTTTTACAAAATTATTTTATTAAAATAACTACATTTAATTAATGAACAAACAGTAACAAACAAAAGACATAGTCCAGCACCATATATAAAAAAGGAAAATGGAAAGTTGCAAGGAAAATCTCTTTCTATTTTGTCACTTAATATTGTGATTCTGTCATATGTATATACATATTTCTATTATTTGTAACTTTTTTATGAAAATTAACTAAAATAAAAAAATTTCTTTGTTAACCTAAGTAGGAATTGACTTTAAAAAAATTTATATTACTTGTTTTATTTCCAATGGCATAAGAAAATGACAAACTCTAACAAGACAAGAAACACGCATAAAAATAAAGCAAGAGAAAAAAGTCAGTGTCCCATCACAGCAGATGTCTAACACTCTGATATCTTTTTACCTCGGAGTCTTCACTCAGAGCCGAGCATCCCTACAAATGATTTTTGTTCATCACCTTTTCTTTCTTACAGAGTTGGGCAATTTGGACTCCGAAAGATACCGGTGCGGTGGAGGTGATCCGCAAGGCGGTCATGATCCACCGCAAGTCCAAATTCCGTGACAGCTTTTTCTTGGGGTTTATCCTAGATATCTTGGTCTCGTGTTTCTGCAAGATATTTTCTTGCAGAAACACGAGAAGTGAACAATGTTTTCCAATTTTGTCTCAAAAGGTGCGGTAATAGATATACCTCCCAGCGGTGCGCCTGGTAACGTCTTTGAAGGAAAAGAGATGTACTATTTTCGGCATGCAGCAACAGTCTATCCACATATGTAAATTAATGTAATACACACAAGTTGAAATATTTTAGTAGTAACAATGCCGAAGGAAAAGAACCGTCATAAAACAGGAAACGGATAGCCTTTCAAACTTTCGCGACCAAATATGAATGACGATAAGATATAGATTTCTGAGCGTAATGTGTTTCTTTTTTATTTTTTAATTTAAATTATTTAATTTGAAATCCTTTCTTTATTATTTATTTACATCATGTTGAATTTTTTAAGTTATTTCCGTTTGTTATTAATTTTTTTCATGGGTATACAGTAAATAATTACTATTTTCGACATGTTACACCATAACAAGCAGATGTTTTTCTTTTTGGAACCAAATTTCTTTTTTTGTGTTAAGTTATTGTCTCTTTTAACGCGATTTCCTACAACGCAGTACTTTCAAAGAATGAATCTACCGCGATTAAAGAGGTTTACCTGTTATATGAATTTTTCGGAGATAGTTTCCCAAGAAAATTTTCCAGTGATGGAAAAATTACTGCTGTTTCTATAATTGTTCGTCTTCAGACCTTAAAGAATATGCAAGTTCCATTCACACTCTTTTAAGAAAATGTTGATAGGTTTAATTCGTTTCTTTACTAAGATACAGCATCGCATTTAAAAAAAAATCTCCCATCTTATATATTAATAAATAAAATTGATTGTGAAGAGTGATGCCAAAAATGTTTGTGGTGTTAGATATCGTTTGATGTATCAACACAATTTCCATGTAAAAAAATGCAAAAGAGCAATTAATTCCTTCACCGGTTTTTCCGTACACCGTACGCGAGCATTGATATTTTTTTCTTTCTATCTTTTATTTGAACATACGGCGTATAACGCTCACCCATACTTTCAAGCTACTTTTTTTTTCAATTTTAGGTATATTCACCGTATAACGCGCACCCCCTTTTTTTAAAAAAAGAATCTGAAATGTACGAGTGTGAATTTTTAATGCTTTGAAGTCATTTGTTTAAGGTACTATCCCAGACTTTTGAAAAAACGGCATACTTCTAAAACTGCAACCCTTTAAATTCATTATGTCTACTATTTCTTTTAAATAAATATTATTCCAATCTACTTATAAGTCTAATTTGTTATACTCATCTCTTTTCTTAGTTTTGAAGCTATCATTTTTATATCCGGCGTATAACGCGCACTCGTAAATTTCAATCTTATTTTTTGTGTTAAAAGTGCGCGTTATACACCGGATTTTACGGTAGTTTAATTCTTATTAGGATATTATTATTATTGCCATGTTTTAAAGAGAAGTAAATTGTCCACGGTACTGAAATGCTTCTTGTCCGGGATTTTCTTTATATTGAAGGGAGAAATTCTTCTTAAGAGTCAAAAATTTAGATTTTTAAAAATTTCTATAAAGAACAGGAATCTGCAAGAAAAAGTGCAGTTTGTCGCTTGCGAAGAAATGAAAACGGAATGGTAATTCAATAAAAGCTGATATGTTTATGTCCCGATTACAATATAAGAATTTGCATAACACCATGCTTCTAAATGTGTGTGTGTTTGTATATGTGTGCATACACACAAAGCCCTCAACCGTTTGAAAGAGATAAATCTTCTGTAAGTATAAGAAAAATTCTTTTAAGACAAAAGAAACACTCTTCATGGCATGCAGAGTGTGCTTATAAAAGAGAAAAATTTAGGGGGATATGTGTTCCACAATTATAAAATAAAAAATGTGTGAAAACTTTAAAATTGAAAATTAAAATCAAATTCTTCCCTTTTATTATTCTATTAAGTATTATACTTAGTTATATGCAATAAAAAAACATGTGCCTTTTTTAAAAACATTTTGGACAAAAAAATTGACCGGATAAGGAGTTAAAAGGAACATACAGGGTAGAGCGCAGCAACTTCCTTTTTTTGAAAATGTAAAAAAAAACACTACATGTTTTCATTTGACTTTATTGTTATTTTCCGCCAACATTGAAAATTTGAATTTACACAGTTTTAAGCACAATGTCTGTTAAAAGTCGCTTTCCATTATCAATACTCTGATGCAGTCGATTTCGAAAACTTTGAGTCAACTTTTCAAGCATATCGACAGGGATATTTCCAGTTTCGGCTGGGATGAGGCTCCTTAGGTCTTCCAGGGTGTTGGAGCGATCTTTGTAAACCAGGAACTTGAGATAAGCCCACAGGAAGTAATCAGAGGGGATAAATCAGGTGAACCCGCAGGCCAGTTTACGACCCCTCGCAGGGGAGATCAGTCATTCGGGGAAGGCTGCTCTAAAAAAACCATGGAAACCCTGGAGGTGTGGGCTGCGTCCCCAACTAGTTGAAACCACACGTTGCCAATATCACTTTCTTGTAGAGCATATAAGAATTGTTAGATCAATGTCATAATATCGGTCTGAATGAACACTCGAACTCGTTTCACATTTTCAGGTGTTCTAACGGTTTTTGGAGGTCCTTTCCTTTGTTTGGAGACATTCTCCGTTGCTCTGAAGGCAACATTCCACATTAAGACACATTTCCTATCAGGAACGTGACTTCGTGGATGAATATAGAAGTTACGACGAAAGGCACGTTGCACTGCAATCACCGACCGATCGTTAGAGAAATACGCCTCCTCAGCAAAAGCATGCTGCTGCCTCGACTACAGAACTCCTAACCACGCCCCTCCCTTCCCTACGAATATCACTGGAACTTGTTCAAAAAAGGAACTTCCCACGTCCCACCCTGTAGATATGAATCATCATTCCTGCTCAAATTTTCATGAGTTCAACATGATTTTATTTTAAACTCGGAATGCTTCACATCTCATTTTATGAGTATATTCCATTTTACGAAGGATTGCTTGGGCATGCAACTACACTAATTTCGGAGACGGAGAATAAAATACTTTACTATAAAACGGAAAAGAAAATTTTTAAACAACAATAAATATAATCTTCCAGATATGGGGTTAAAACATTTTTTTTTTATTTTTCGACTTTTTAGAATATGTTTTTCTATTCAGGCATATGAAAACTAAAAGAACGTTAAAAAAATTTGCACTTGAGTAAACAAATGCATATTTGATATGAACTATGAGTAAAAAAAATAATTGATGGGGGATATTACCTTTCAAGCACCAGCAGAATAACAAAAAAGGCTTTTATTGAAATGAGCATACTACGAGCAGGTAAAATAAATACATAAAAACGACATGCTTCAGTGTCTGTTATTGAATAAACATTAAAAGAAAAAAAGAATTGCTTTAATTTTGCCAAATTAATTTTCCTGAAGATCAATGACTGTTAATAATTAGATTACTCTTTTGTCTTTTTTAATTTATAGAGAATATATTATGCTTGAGTTAACGTTTCCTTTTGTACGCAAGTGCATAAATAATAAGACAGCTACGTGCCTCCCACTTATTAAAGTCAGTTGACGGAAAACATTTAAGATAATTGTTTAAAAAATTAAATTTGTAATATAGCTGTTTTTATCATCAATAAAGAATTTTTTTTTATCTGTATGCTTTAATAACAGTAATTCAAGAGTAAATAGATAATTTCTTTAAACCAAAATATATGTGTTGAAGTTAAATGTTTTTTATTAATTTAAATATATAAATATTATATTATTGATTGACAAATAACCATATTTATGTATCGTATACACATATAAAATGGAAATATTTAATATCTTTCCGAAAGGTAATTAAGGTATTAGATGCATATAAAATTATAACAGTTATATTAATAAATTTCTTTTCTTTATGTCATTGATACCATTATTTTTATATGAAATTTAACAAGGAGTAAATAATATTCTCCTGAATGAACGGTAAACTCAGACTCAAACTAAAAAAATAAATATATTATTATAAGTTTAAATTAAAATGCCATGAAAATTTCTGTGTAAAATTTATTCAAGAATAGAAATTAAATCAACGAATTATAAACGGGAAAAAAATTTCTTCTAATGGTTTAAAATCAAATTCCATTAAGCAAAACATTTTTTTTTGTTTTTGGTGAGTTTTTAATTACTTCTTAACTGAATGAATTGTTCCCTTTCCTTGATTCTTGTAAAAAATTAAATGATGTCTTTTGAAGAATTGGACATATGAAAATAAAGTAAATTTTAATTTCAAATGTTGTATAAATAGAACATTTTATTGACATTTATACAGTCTGAATGTGCATTCTTGCACTAAAAATACCTTATTTCGTTTTAAAAAATTGTCCGTTACCTTCTCTGTG